ATCACATTCGTTCGGGCCGTCTAAGCAACTTTCTTCACTTATGTTGTTCTGCAATTTATGTTTCCTTTGCATCCGCTTCTGATAGACAGATTTGTAGGAACTTTGGGTAACAGATTCTACGTTTTCACCCATTTTTCAAATTTTATATATTGAATTTTAATTTAATTTTTCTTGTTCTTCTTCTTCTCTTCTTTCTCCTATATATTGTTGTTGCTGTTGCATATCGTCAATATGAACAAGAGATGCAAATCAAAGTAGTAAAAAACAGTGAAAAATTAGTATTATTATTATTATATTATAATTCTATACTAATGAAATAAATTCTTAAATTAAAAAAAATACATTGAAAGTAATTTACATGCATTATGTCGAATATGATTGACTGATTTATTTACTTTCTTTTAAAAATTAAACATTTTTAAAATTTTCAATTTTACTAATCTGCGAAATTATTAATTTTTCGCATGGAGTACATGGACATGAAAGTTTGTATTCACTTTGCGTATTTTATTCCTTCCTAAAGAACTTTCATTGTATTGCATTTTAGGATAAATCTATGTTCTATCTATTATTACAAGCAGAACTTCCACTTTCGCCTTTTTGGCAGAGCTCATGACGAATACGAATTCCAAGCAGCTCTGTGCACATTCTTATTCTTTTTGTTTACTTTTGGCGTAAAAAATATGGCCGCTTAACGGTTTTCTATCTAGTTTGCAAGCGCTTCTGGAACAAAGTGAAATTTTTGTGAAAAAAAAAAATTAATTAAAATTAATTAAAACAAATTAAAGCAAAAATAATCAAAAATTTATATGAATACTATAAAGTTATGTTTGTGAATTGTGTTGTTACTTTACTAATAAAGTACAGTGTATAATATCTAACAAAGGCAACATTGAATCAAAAACGGTGAGAATTTTAGTATAATATAAATATAGAAAGACAATATAAGTAAACATGTAATTTAGTACGGCTCGAAGAGTTGTGGCTTAAAAATAACAGTATTAATGTGGAAGTTCTTAAGGAAAATGAATCATTAAAAACGGTCAATTTGGAACATCGTCTTAAACTCAAAGACATATCGCCATGGTTGGGAAAAATTTATGCTACTCTTTGTTGATAATATTTAAATTTTAATTTTACTCC